AGTACAAATAAAGAGATAAGAACACCAGCTGTAAGCTTCTAAAAACAAAAAATGGAACTAGCCGTTGCACATTTGAACCTAACGGCTACTTGCTGAAAATAGCAAGTTCTTCACCTCTTCGAATTCAGAATTCTCTTCACTTCTTTCTGTAAGATTGTCATTTGCAGTTCGATTTAAGCTAGTATGCAACTTAAATCTCAACAGCCTCTCCTAAGCTGCTTACTGGCTTAACTCCAAGTCTCAATCTCAACTGGTTAAATCTATCTTTTGGCAAAGCTTTTGTAAATATGTCTGCAAGTTGTTCTTCACTTCTGCAGAACTGCAAATTGATCATCCCTTCTTGCAGAGCTTCCCTTATAAAATGATACCGCCTGTTTATGTGTCTAGTTCTCTGATGAAATACAGGATTTTTGACCATAGAAATTGCTGACTTATTGTCACAAAAATAAAGGTGTTGCCTCAGTTTACATTTCCCCAAAATCATCAAGAACGAATCTCAACCAAATTGACTGTGCAGTTGCTTCAGCTGCTGAAACATACTTAGCTTCAGCTGTTGACAGTGCAACTGTGTTTTGTTTCACAGAAGCCCAAGAAAATGCCCCACTGCCAAAGCTGAATGCATAACCTGAGGTGCTTCTGCTATCATCTTTACTGCCTGCCCAATCTGCATCACAGAAACTAATGAGGATCGCAGACTTATCTTTCACATACTCAATGCCATAGTTTAGGGTCCCTTGCACATATCTCAATACTCTTCTTGCAACTCCCAGATGCTTCTTAGTCGGACCATTCATAAACCTTGATAACAAGCTTGCAGCATACATGAGATCAGGTCTAGTTGCTGTTAAGTACAGCAAGCTTCCCACTATTTTTCTGTAAAACCCTTCATCTGCCAACTCACTCCCATCCACTTTTTAAAGTTTTTCACTAGTAGGTGAAGGAATAGACACAGGTTTGCAATCTTCAAGCCCAAATTTCTCTAGTAGTGACTTGGCATACTTACTTTGGTGAATAAATACACCTTGATCAGTTTGTAATATCCCCATACCAAGGAAGTGATGTAGGAGACCAAGGTCAGACATTTCATATTTCTGCATCATCTCCCTTTTGAACTCACAGATCATCTTGTCACTGCTTCCAGTATAGATAATATCATCAACATATATTGAGACAATTATCAAACCTCCTTCATCATCAGATCTTGTGTATAAGGTGGCTTCACTTGTACTTCTTTTGAATTTACACAGAGAGAGATAAGCATCAATTTCACTGTACCAGGCTCTAGGTGCCTGTTTAAGTCCATATAAAGCCTTCCTTAACTTATAGACCTTTTGACCTGCATTTTTCAACTCAAAACCTTCAGGCTGCTCAACATACACCTCTTCATCAAGCACACCATTCAAAAATGCTGATTTAATATCCAGCTGAAATAACTTCCAACCCTTTTGTGCTGCTAAAGCAATGAGAGTTCGAATTGTGTCTAACCTTGCCACAGGTGCAAAGGTTTCATTGTAGTCAATCCCAGGTTTCTGTGCATACCCCTTGGCTACAAGCCTGGCTTTGTGTTTTTGAACTGTTCCATCTAGATTAAACTTAGTCTTAAACACCCATTTCACACCTATAACAGGTTTATCAACAGGTCTCTCAACAAGTTCCCAAGTATTGTTCTTCTCAATCATTTCCAATTCTGCATTCATAGCTTCTTGCCAAGCTATATCACTTGCTGCTTCTCGATAAGTCTCAGGTTCTATAATGCACATGTGACACCTTGTATATACATCTTCTAGAGTTCTCAACTTCACTGGAGTGGAGCTAGGTGTGGAGCCTTGACTGTGACTTCCACCATTGACTTCAACTGACTCATTAACAATAGTGTTTGAATGAGAACTTTCAGCATTGTCACACTGGAGTTCATCAATTTGTTCCTCTCTAACTTCTTCTTCATAGTCAAATCCTTCAAGATTGAAGTGAGTTGAGGTAGGCTCCACTTGATCATTTTTCCAATTCCATGACTGGTTTTCACTGAAAATTACACTTCTTGAGAGTACTATCTTCTTAGATTTCAGATCATACACTCTATATCCCTTTTCACAGCTCCCATATCCCATGAAGACTCATTTTCTGGATTTCTCATCAAGTTTGTGCCTCAGATGTGAAGAGACATGAGTATAGCAGATACAACCAAAAACTCTCAGCTGCTTGATTCCAGGCTTCCTACCTGTGAATGCTTCAAAAGGAGTTTTATCTAGGACAGATGTTGTAAAACATCTATTTTGAAGATACACAGTTGTGCTTACAGCTTCTGCCCAGAAGACTACAGGAATTTCTTTCTCAACCATCATGGACCTTGCCATCTCACCAATTGATCTATTCTTCCTCTCAGCAACTCCATTTTGCTGAGGAGAGTAGGCAATAGTCAGTTGCCTCTCCATTCCCATGCTTGCACAGTAATCTAAAAACTCATGTAAGGTGTATTCACCACCTCTATCACTCATTAGCTTCTTTAAACTGAACCCACTTTGCAGTTCAACAAAGGCTTTGAATTTTTTGAACACATTGAAGGTATTTGTTTCTAAGAAAGTATACCCAACATATTCTTGAGAAATCATCAATGAATGTGACGAAGTACCTATTTCCTCCAATGGACTCATTTTGCATAGGTCCACACAAATCTGTATGCACAAATTCAAGTGGGCAGCTTGCTCTCCACATTTTTTCTTTGTCAAAAGGTTCTCTGTGATGTTTGCCTGATACACAACCTTCACACACATCTCTCATTTCTGTCAAAACAGGTAATCCAAACACCATTTCCTTCTGCTGCATCTTTTTCATGCTGGTGAAGTTCAAATGTCCAAGCCTTCTATGCCATATCCATGAATCTTCAACCATAAATGCTTTTCTTGCTACAGGGGTTATAGATTCCAGTGAAAGGGGAAAACATCGATTTCCTGCCATGATCACTTTTGCTACAACATTGTTAAGACTGCTATCATCAAAGATCACTGCCATATTACCCCCAAATAGGACATAGTATCCATGCTCCATCATTTGGCCTACACTTAGTAAGTTTTCATCCAAACCTGGAACCAGCAACACTTCATTTATATATCTTTTCCCACGCTGAGTTACAACCACTAAAGTACCCTTTCCAGTTGCTTGTACAAGATCACCAGTGCCCATTTTAACTTTACAGGTCACAGATCTGTCAAGATTTATTAAGGTAGACTCTTGTGATGTCATATGGTTGCTGCAAGCACTGTCCACAAACCACACACATCTATCTTGCATAGTTGATGAGTGACAAGCGTAAAACATGGTTCCTGTAGTTACTTCTTCTTCCTTTGCACAGTGGGCAACTTGCTTATGACCATCACAGTCCTTTGCAATATGACCAAAACGATTGCACTTTCCACATTTGGGTTTTCCTTTGTATCTGCACACACCAAAATGATATTTCTGGCACACTTGACACTGTGGTTTCATAGAACTTTGACTACTGCTCCCTTGCTTGTTCTGTGAATTGAATCTGTTATTCCAATTTCCTCCAGAATTGTTGCTCCAGTTCCCACTCGGGGACCAGTTTGATCCCTTCTTGTTTTGTCCCTGCCACTTTTGATTTGGCCTACTTTGTGAACCTTTGTAGGTGCCAGTGACTTGATTATTTCCAACTCTAAGGCTGTTGAAAGCCCTCTCAGTTCCTGTCAATCTATCCCTTTCATCATGCAAGTCTTCCCTTTTATCATATACTTTGACAGATGCAATGACTTCTTCCACTCTAATGGCATCCAGATCTCGAGTTTCCTCAATAATAGAAACAATGGATTTATACCTCCTACTTAGACTCATCAATAATTTCTGCACAATTCTTTGTTCAGTCACATCTTCACCAAGAGACTTTAGATTATTCACAATTCCAAAAAACCTACCCAAATAGTCATCTAGGTTTTCACTATCTGTCATTCTCATATACTCAAAATCAGCCCTAACTGCTTGAAGTTTTACAGCTCTTACCTTTTTATCTCCTCTGAACTCTCTTCTCAGGATGTCCCAAGCCCCTTTTACAGTCTTTTCATTTCTGATACGAGGAAAAAGCTCATCTTTTATAGCTCCTTGTATGAGACTCAACGCCTTGGCGTTTTTGATTCTGTCTTCTCTGGAGATGGTGGGTGGTTCCACTGGAACATGCTCAGCCTCACTACCCTCCTCTCCAGAACCTTCTTCCTCTTCGGGAATCTGCTGCATTTGCACACCGAGTTCTAGTACATCCCATAGGTCATGCGCTATGAGGATAGTCTCCATCTTGACAGCCCAAAAATCGTAGTTTGCACCATCAAACTGTGGAGTTCGTAAATCTCCACCGAAAGAACCTGATCCCACCATTTTCTTAGTGAGTATCAGTGAATCAACCAATAAAGGAACCACCTTTATCCCTTCTGGGACCTTTTCTCAGGAAGAACCTTCTTTCACAGTTTTACGCCCCTCTCCGGAATCAGACCTACTGCTCTGATACCATGTTTGAAATGGTACCAGGCATGATGATTTGGTCGATAATCTTCATTAAAGATTGAAACTTTCAGTAATAGTTTTTAAGAAATCTGAGCTTTTTTCAAGAGAGAGAGAGATGGAGAGCAAGAGACTGTATTTTTCATTAACTTCAACCAAAAGATTACAAGGACAATATAACTCTCCACGGGACAAAAACAGATCCTACACACTAGGGACCTAGAACTCTTCTCCGGCCATTAATGGTCATCGGAGGATATCATCCATCCACTTGGAAGAAGATGGGAATGCAAAGTACAAATAAAGAGATAAGAACACCAGCTGTAAGCTTCTAAAAACAGAAAATGGAACTAGCCGTTGCACATTTGAACCTAACGGCTACTTGCTGAAAATAGCAAGTTCTTCACCTCTTCGAATTCAGAATTCTCTTCACTTCTTTCTGTAGGATTGTCATCTGCAGTTCGATTTAAGCTAGTATGCAGCTTAAATCTCAACAGCAGTTCCCTTCAGATAGCAACAATTTGAGTTCAGAGTGCAAGGACTTGTGTCAGAAATTGTTACGGCGCAATCCATGTAATTTTGTTTTGGTTCAATAGTCCAAGTATTCATGTCATATATTTAAGTGAAGTTTGATATGCATATCTGTAATACCATGTTAGGCTAAAAATGGACAATAAAATAATTGCATGCTAAAACAGGTTTATAATCATTTCTATGTTGTCAAGTTTCTCATGCATGAGAGATTGAAGCAAGTCACATGTATAGATTTTGTGCCACATGATTTCTTGTATTGTTTAACTAATTTTACCCCATAGTTCTGATTTTTTTTCTGTTATTGTGCGTACAGTGGAACGCCTAACATTTGAAGAGTTTTTTAATCACCCATTTCTATCTCAGCAGTCACCATATTCGAGGTAAATGAGGCAAATAGTTCAGTCTTCATGGGCTTGACTAAAAATATATTCCTCATATTAAGATGATTCTCTGTGTCATACAGGAGTAGGAGGGAATCACGAATGGCAGAGGCATTTCCTACATCTGAATGCAATGTTGATTATTGGCTCAAACAATAAACAATTAATAAATATCTGGTTTCTGCTACTTTTGCAGTGGCATGGGTTGGCATGGGTTGGCATACAGCATGTGGGAGAGTAACAAAAGCAGATGTTCTTTTGTGGTGGCATGCGTTGCCATCTGCTGCATGTGGTAGACAAACAAAAGCAGATGCTCAATGCGTTGGCATCTGAAAACCTTTGGCCTTTGGTTCTCTTGAGAAGTCATCTTATTCGGTTCTATAAGAAGAAGCTGGAGCAGCCCAGATAGAGACACAGAAGAGAAACAGCAAGAAACCATTCGGTAGAGAGAAAGAAAAAATCCTCTCAAATTGTTTTGCTTTGTATTCGATATTTTCTCTTCCTATTGTAAGTGTGTGAGCTTGGGTTATTCGGGTCTTTGGGAAATTGAGTGAAACACCATTGTATGTTCTCATTGATTATAGTAGAATACTCCGTCGTCTCCAAACTGGATGTAGGCATTGCCGAACCAGTATAAATCTTGGTGTTCTTGTTGGTATTGTTTCATTTATCTGTTATCAGTTTCTAGGGTTTATTATTTTTCACTCACACTTGTTGAAGCTTCCACACAACAAGTGGTATCAAAGCCAGGTTTTTCGACTAGGGCTTTGTTTTTTTTTTTCGTGGGAGTGAAGAAAAAAAAAGGGGAAAATTTCTTGGAGCTGCATTCCCGTGAATAGTGCCGAAGAAGATGGCTGGAGATGAAGGTGAACCTGTGAAGAAGAAGGAGTCGGCACCTACATCCAACAGACACCAAATTGCTACTACAAGGTTAGAGGTTGATAAATTCAATGGCTCTAATAATTTTGGTATGTGGCAATGTGAAGTTATGGATGTCTTGTATCAACAAGAGTTGGATATGGTTCTGGAAGAGAAACTAGAAGATATTGAGGACAAGCAGTGGACGCGAATTAATCTTCATGCTTGTGCTGCTATTCGATCATTTCTTGACAAGGAGTTGAAATACCCGTATATGAAGGAAACTTCTGCCAAGGAGTTATGGACAAAATTGGAGGAAAAGTATATGACCAAGAGCGCAGAAAATCGGCTCTTCCTGAAGAAACGACTCTTCCGTTTTCAGTATAGTCCAGGTATTTCTATGCATGAACACCTCAATGATTATAATAAAATACTTGCTGATTTAGCAAACCTTGATGTGAAAATTCCTGACGAGGACAAGGCATTATGTTTGTTAAATTCATTGCCTGATGATTATGATCATTTGACAACTACTTTGTTGTATGGAAAAACCGAGGTGAAACTTGATGAGGTGTCTGCGGCATTGGTGAATCATGAGTGTCGAAAGAAGGAACTAAAGACTCACAATTCACAAACCGAGGCACTTGTTGCAAGGGGTCGAACAGTGGAAAGAAAATATGTGAAACGGGGAAAATCTCGTTCAAAGTCACGAGGGAAGTTTCCTGCTAAAGATGAATGTGCCTTTTGCCGCCAAAAGGGTCATTGGAAGAGAGACTGCCCCAAATTGAAGAATAAAGAGAAGGAGAAAGCGGGTCCTGAAGCAAATATTGTAAACCAAGGAGATAATGATCTCGAGTTTGCTTTGGCTAGTTCATCTACTAATGGTCACTCCAAGGAGTGGATTTTGGATTCAGGTTGCACTTATCATATATGTCCCATTCGAGAATGGTTTTCTAGCTTCGAGGAGCTGGATGGTGGAGTTGTTTTGATGGGTAATGATAATGCCTGCAAAACACAAGGGATAGGCAAAATCTGTTTGAAGATGCATGATGGAACAGTCAGAGAATTAAGTGATGTTCGGTATATACCGGATATGAAGAAAAACCTTATCTCTCTGGGAGCTTTGGAATCCAAGGGTCTTAAGATCACCATGAAGAGTGGAGTTCTTAAAGCTGTGTACGGGGCACTGGTGGTGATGAAAGGTATAAGACGAAATAACTTGTATTTCTTGCAGGGAAGTACAATTATTGGTGGAGCAGCCATAACCGAAGCTATTGACGATAGCACAGACACCACAAGGTTATGGCATATGCGCCTAGGGCATGCTGGTGAAAAAGCGTTGCAAGGATTGGTGAAGCAAGGCTTGTTGAAAGGTGCAAAGGCATGCAAATTGGAATTCTGTGAGCATTGTGTGTTTGGTAAGCAAACTAGGGTAAAAGTTGGCACTGCTATTCACCACACTAAAAACATTCTTGATTATGTTCACACTGATGTTTGGGGACCTTCCAAGAATGCATCTTGGGGAGGTAGCCATTATTTTGTCTCCTTTGTTGATGACTTCTCTAGAAGAACATGGGTGTACACCATGAAGCGTAAAGATGAAGTCTTGAAAATATTCCTGAAGTGGAAAAAGATGATTGAAACTCAAAGCAATCGAAAGATCAAGACTCTCAGATCAGACAATGGGGGTGAATATAAGTCTGATCCTTTCTTGCAAGTCTGTCAAGATGAGGGTATCGTGAGGCACTTTACGGTTAAGGAGACACCACAACAAAATGGAGTGGCGGAGCGCATGAACCGTACGTTGCTTGAGAAAGTCCGGTGCATGTTATCTAATGCTGGTTTAAGCAAGGCATTTTGGGCTGAGGCAATCACTTATGCAAGCCATATCATTAATCGATTGCCAGTTGCTGCAAACGAGGGCAAAACGCCCATGGATGTATGGTCTAATAAACCTTGTACTGATTACAAGTTCTTACACATATTTGGTTGTCCTGCTTACTATCATGTCAGAGAAAGCAAGTTGGATCCAAGAGCAAAGAAAGCTCTATTTATGGGCTTTAGCACTGGCGTGAAGGGATATCGACTCTGGTGTCCAGATATGAAGAAATTTGTTGTAAGCAGAGATGTGACTTTTGATGAGGCTGGTATGGTTAATCGGAACAAGCATGAAGGTGAAACTAAAGCAACCAAGATCATGAGCAACACAAAGCAGGTGGAGTTACTGAAGACTCCAGTTGTCCCAGTAAGGTCCGATGTTACAAACCCTAGCCCTACAGTTAATTCTGATGATGAAGACGTGGATGATGAAGTAGAGGCACCTACACAAGAGCCTCCACAGCAACAAGACTATATTGCAACCAGAAGATCGAGAAGGGAAATTCGAAAGCCTGCTCGATTTACTGATATTGTGGCATATGCACTTCCCGTTATTGAAGATGACATTCCATCCGCATACAAAGAAGCTGTCATAAGTCCAGAGTGCGAGGAGTGGAAGAAATCTATGGATGAGGAGATGAAATCTCTTCATAAAAATGAGACTTGGAAACTGGTGCAGTTACCGAAGGGGAAGAAAGAAATTGGTTGTAAATGGGTGTATGCCAAGAAGATGGAATCTTTGGGAAAAGATAATGTAAGATTCAAAGCCAGATTGGTGGCTAAAGGTTACTCTCAGAAAGAAGACATTGACTACAATGAGGTATTTTCTCCTGTAGTAAAACATTCTTCTATTCGTATTCTGTTGGCTTTGGTTGTGCAGTTTGACCTTGAGTTAGCCCAACTTGATGTCAAGACTGCGTTCTTACATGGTGATTTGGAGGAAGAGATTTACATGTCCCAGCCAGAAGGTTTTAAAGTTGCTGGAAAGGAAAATTGGGTTTGCAAATTAAGAAAAACATTGTACGGCTTGAAGCAGTCTCCAAGGCAATGGTACAAGTGATTTGATCGATTTATGATTAGGCAAAAGTACACAAGAAGTCACTATGACCATTGTGTATACTTTCGCAAACTACAAGATGGAACCTTCATTTATCTACTTTTATATGTTGATGATATGCTTATAGCATGTAAGAGCAAAGTGGAGATTGAAAGGTTGAAGACTCAACTGAGCAATGAATTTGAGATGAAGGACTTGGGAGAAGCTCGGAAGATACTAGGTATGGAAATTGAAATAGATAGAGCAAAGGGCAAGATTAGTTTGTGTCAAAAGCAATACTTGAAGAAGGTACTACATCGTTTCAGGATGAATGAAAATTCAAAACCGGTTAGTATACCTCTTGCCCTTCATTTCAAACTTAGTGCTTCTATGTCTCCTAAAACTGTTGAGGAGAGACAGTACATGGCTCAAATTCCTTATGCAAATGCTGTTGGTAGTTTGATGTATGCTATGGTGTGTACTAGGCCTGATATTTCACAAGCTGTTAGTATTGTCAGTAGATATATGCATAATCCAGGAAAAGGGCATTGGCAAGCTGTGAAATGGATTCTACGGTATATTCTAGGTACTGTGGATGTTGGTTTATTATTCCAGCAGGATAAAATTACTGGTAAATGTGTTGTTGGATATGTGGATTCTGATTACGCAGGTGATTTAGACAAGCGTAGGTCTACTACTGGTTTTGTATTCACTATTGCTGGAGGTCTGGTAAGTTGGAGGTCGAGTCTGCAATCTACAGTTGCATTGTCGACTACTGAGGCGGAGTACATGGCTGTAACAGAAGCTATAAAGGAAGCCATCTGGCTTCAAGGGTTGCTTGATGACTTAGGGGTTCAACAAGACCATGTGGATGTCCATTGCGACAGTCAGAGTGCTATTCATTTAGCAAAGAATCAAGTTCATCATGCACGTACAAAACACATTGACGTGAGGTTCCATTTTGTTCGTGAGATCATAGACGAGGGAGATATTCTTCTTTAGAAGATTGGGACCGCTAACAATCCTGTGGATATGTTAACAAAGCCAATTTCGTTGCTCAAGTTTAAGCACTGCTTAGACTTGGTTGGCATTTGTAAAATTTGTTGATTGCCCCATGGGGGAGTGGGAGACGACTAATTTGGAGTTCTACTTAGAGGGTTTGAGCCAAGGTGGAGATTGTTGATTATTGGCTCAAACAATAAACAATTAATAAATATCTGGTTTCTGCTACTTTTGCAGTGGCATGGGTTGGCATACAGCATGTGGGAGAGTAACAAAAGCAGATGTTCTTTTGTGGTGGCATGCGTTGCCATCTGCTGCATGTGGTAGACAAACAA